CTCTATGCTAAATAAATCACAGGTGACTGGCTTAGAGAATTGTGTACAAATGAAGGAACAGACCTGAGCCTATAAAACATGAACAAGCTTGAAAGTAGTTCCCATTCAGCCTTAAAAATATGTTCTCAAAGTCTATACAGTGTGATTAGAAAGCAACTGTCCCTCTTAGTTAAAACAGGAACTTACAGTTCATTCTATAATGGAGTACTATACTGTTTTTCTCAAATAACAAATTAACCTTTCATAAAAACTGGAACGATATCTTTGTTAATCATTTTATAGCTGTATAGCTTCCATTTTTAAAAATGTCCTTTGTTCCCTCAGATCTATATTTATCATTTCTATCCCTTGCTTGTATTTATTTTCTTTCCTTTTGTCCATGACCTCCAATTTCACCCCTACCACCCATGACACTTTCCCCTTTTCTTTTTTGTTCTAAACACATTCCCCCTGGATTTTGAGTGAATGCACACTCTAATGCCATTTCTCCTACAGGAGCTCTGCACAAATACAACTGACCACCATAGTAATCTGGATAAACTTAATACCACGTGCATTTTCCAGATGGACAAGCTGAATTGTTTGATTGCTGAGATTATCACAAAATGAGGGTGAATTACTGCTCTGGTACTTGTTTGTGAGTATTCTTAATAATATAGTGTCATGTATTAATCACAGTGTTTCACACATAACAAAAGCAATAGCAGAAAGTACATCTTTTGGATCCATTATGAAATGATTTTTTTTTCATGGTTCAGAATGAAAGTTCACAGAACAGGGAAAATTTTAGCTCTGGTGTTCAGATTTTATACACAGATTCGGAGAGAACTATTTTGCAATATTGCTTATTTACATTGGACTATGCACTAAATATTTACTATAGTTTGCAACAGTCCTGGGTTGATCCCCTCCTGCCTTTTTCAGTTGTAATCTGTAGTTCATAAGCTTTGTGAAAAAAAGAAATGGAAATTCTCTTCTGGTTTCTCAGAGTTTATGTATATTAGCAGTACTTCCTTGGTGTTGCTCATAGACAAAATTAGGGCTTTCCCAGGAGCAACATATGGCTGTGGGAGCTATAAGGAAGGCTATAAGGAAGGCTATAAGGCTATAAGGAAGGCTCTGCGCTGAAGAATTTTTGCTTTCGAATTGTGCTGTTGAAGAAGACTCTTGAGAGTCTTCTTGGACTGCAAGGAGATCAAATCAGTCAATCCTAAAGACAATCAACCCAGACTATCCTTTGGAAGGACAAACACTGAAGCTCAAATACTTTGACCATCAAATGAGGTGGGAAAGATGGAAGGTAAAAGGAGAACGGGATGGCAAAGGAGAGATGGTTAGATAGCATCATCAATGCAATGAACATGGATTTGGGCAAACTCCAGGAGACAATGGGCCATGGGGTTGCCAAGAGTTGGACATACAGTAACTTAGCGACTGAACAATAACAACCTTGGTGTTTCTAGCTTAAATGCTTTAATGAACAGGTTTCAACCAGAATACTGGTCGAAGTAGTCCTTAACGTACGACCACAATTGAGACAGAAACTTCCATTGCCAAGCAAAACATTTGTTAAATAAATTGCACCAGATTTTATCACCTTTTTCACCACAGTTCTTAAACAAATCATTGCAGTTGTTAAGTGAATCACAAGGTTGTTGAGAGAATCTGGCTTCCCCCAGTCACTTTGCTTGTTGGAAGGGGGCTGGGAAGGTCACAAATGAGAATCACATGACCCCGGGACACTGCAACCATTGTAAATATTTGCCAGTTGCCAAGCACTCAAATTCTGAACACATAACCGTGAGGATGCTGCATGTATTAGTATTAGGATGATCAGTTCAGGATTTGGAGGGCAGGTAGATGCAAAAGTATTTGCCATTTGACTGTGCCCCAAAGTTTAATTTCCATTACATTATTTTTCCTGGCGGGATTTTATTTAATGCTGTGTAAATTACAGTCTGATCAAACAAAATTAGTTGCTTTAGTGGATGGTGATGTCTGTCTCCCAGGAACAAATGTACTTGTTAACTTCAGAATAATTGCATGCTTTCCTGTTTAAAGATTAGTCTTCTCCCTCCCTATTTATCTAGCTATTTCATTCCTTCTTTACATATTTTTTTCTACATCAGTGTTTCTTCAATTTTTTCTCTGTTTTAAAAATTATGGAGGACCCCATAAATTTTTATTCGTATGGATTATATTTACTGCATTGAAAACTAAAATTGATGCCTTAGCTGCTGGTATCACTTCTTACAGGTGTTTGATGGAATTTTAATTGCGAATTATTTTTCAACAGAGGTGGGAAAGAATTTTGATTTCAAGCACTCCTGAGAGGGTCTCGAAGGACCCCTGGGGCCCTAGGACCACTTTAAGAAATACTGTTCTAGATGAAAAGATGAGATACAAGGTTATTTCTGTGGTTATGTCCATTCATTCAGTGACTGTTACGCTGGCTCTGAACAAGCGGACTTACAACCAATTCTAGAGTTTTGGCTGTCACAGTATCCCCATAGTCACATAACCACAATTTCTGATATTCCCTGCTGGCTTCCCACAAGCAAAGTTTATATATCACAATGGTCAGGTCTACACAATTTGTTGGTCCAAAACTAAATAAACTATCCAGATAGATTGTATTTATTACAATACAGGTTGTCCCTGTTTAGCAACAATTGGGAGCAGCAATTCAGTCATTAAGATTGTGCTAATGATCTTACTTCAGCTTTCCTTTGCTTTACAGATTTGTGGGGAAAAAATGTAACAATTGGCCATAAAGTTACTTTTGCATCACCAACATAACCGTGAGACAGTAATTAAATAAGGACCAGAGAGCATCAATAAGCATGATCAATGCTGTCTCCATGTTGAACCCAGGTCTTCTAGTCCAGAGGTCCCTAACCTTTTGGGCACCAGGGACCAGTGGCATGGAGAAAGGTTTTTCCGGGGACCAGAGGGGGTGTGGTTTTGAATACTGCCTGCATCCCAAGGATGGAGCTTTGCTTGTTTGTATGGCCCGCTTGCTGTCATGCTGCGGACCGGTGCTGGTCCATGGACCGGGGATCGAGGATCCGTAGCTGGCTGACCGGCCGTACTCAGCGTGTGGTCCTCAATGGAACCGCATCTACATGGAGGGAAGTGTGTAGTGGGGTGCCCCAGGGCTCTGTTCTGGGCCCAGTGCTCTTCAACATCTTCATCAACGATCTGGACGAGGGGATAGATGGGGAACTCATCAAATTTGCAGACGACACCAAGCTGGCAGGAAT